TTGTCCAATGAAAGTGCAAATTATGGAAAGTAGGCCAATTGGTGTTACGTATTTGTCGGATATTTGTCGTATCACAAGTTTAAGTAGAATTATCCCCCACGCCGCGCCCAGTCGAGAAGCGACTACGCTCCATGTTGCCGGGAGCATTTCGCTTTTCTCGCCATCCCTTTCGTTTGAGCTGTCGATGTCTTCCCATTAGACCCACAAAAGGGGAGATCGGGCAACGATCGTTTGGCCCATTTCCAGAGGAGCGCAATACCAATGGATAGCCAGCAAAATGGGTGGGAGGGGGCGCTCTCGTTGGAGCAGCGATCGTTGACGCAGTGGATGATCGAACTTCATGCTGTGGAGCCTTCCCGGCAACATCACCATGCCTGCTTGTGACAACAGGACAACAATGTACGAGGTAGTGTTGATAAATATCTACTATTGACGCTTGATCTCGATGTCGTCGGCGGCAGCGTCGGGGTGGCTCAAGTCCAACTCGTCGTCGCTCGGTCCAGGTGTCGTATCATGTGGCTCATGATGGGGGGCCATGCCCACGTCCGTCGGGCGAGAGCACTTCAAACTGTCTGCGTCTACAAACTCAAATGCCATTGCAAAATCGCTCGAGACAAAGGTGCGAACGAGGCCATCCTTGGGTCGGGCTCCGATGTACCACCGCCGGAGCCGCCGAGATTGGAGCTCTCCGTTGAATGCATACTCGAAGCGAAACAGGTTCTCCCGGTGGTACATGCGCTGATTGATCAGTTTGACGCACTTGGCCTTGGAGCAAACCTGCCGACATCCGAGTGAGCGCATGTGTGGAGGAGGAGTTCGCCTTACCATGCGACCTGTGGCGACTTCCTGGAACGACACTTTAACCACATTCACGTCCGTGTGGTCGGCAAATGCGAAAAAAGGCGTTGGAAATTGCTGGAGCAACGGATTGGTCTCGTCAAAGTCGCACTCGACCAGGTACAGAATCTCGCCACGAGCTTGGAGGAATCGGTTCGAGCTGTCTTTCGCCTTGATGTACACGCGCTTGCGATGACCGGCATCGTCCACGTGGTTTAGTCGACGGCACAGCGCCTTGCACTGAAGGCGATACGATTCCTTGAGCTCGTGTACTTGCGAGTTGAGTGCGTCCAATTTGCACGACAGCGACCGCTGGCGGATGTACGGCACCGTCGTGGGACTCGTCGTGAAGATCTGCTTGGCAAAGAGTCGGCCAGTCTTGCACCAGTACGCAACATGTTCGCAGTTCAGGGACAGGATGTTGAAGTGACCGCGGCCAGCGCCCAAGAGAAACTTGCACCGCGCAAGGACGACCGGCGGGATATCCGACGCCGACCGATGGACTTCGCCGAGTTTCGAGATCGCATCGCCCAAAATCGACGAGCTGTACTGCACGCGGCGGAGGTGTTTGAACTGTCGGCCATTCAAGAACGCTTCCAACGTCGTCAATCGAAAGTACGAGTCTGCCTGGGCCTCAGCAAAGTTGGACAGTGGACTCCACGTATGCGCCACCATGACGGTCGCCATCGACGTCCCGCGCTCGTACACGATGCCGTGGTGGGAATACGAGATCGGCCACCGCCCAAAGTCCCAGATACACACCTGGTCACCGGGCTGGAGCGTCGACACGTCGTAGACAGCGGTGTTCATCGGCAACAATGGCAGTGGAGTGCTTGCGGCGTTTACTGTCGGCTTGCCACGCCGTCACAGAAGAACTCTCGACACAATTTCTATGAGCGTTTGTATGTTGGCCGAGGAGCCAGTCGACGGCATGACCTAAAAAACGCAACGAGATGAAATAAAACGTGGATTTGATGCCCGTAGAAGAATACTCTGTCGTTGTAAATGTGCGGTCATATATCCTGAAAATTTCTTCCCCTTACAACAAGATGGAGATGTGTACCCTTCAATTTAATACAACAACTTAAAGCTTCTTTGCATATTTTTTTGTAAATGTATTTCTTTTAATGTCGTGTCTTTACTCAAGGATTCGACGGTACCTGACGTTTTAACGCAGGTATCTATTTAACGTAGTTCAACTTGAACTCCTCGAATGTTGTCGACGCCGCTGCTTGACTGGCCTGCGTTCCGTCGTTCAGCATTCAACGAGACCGCCCACACGTAAGTTTAACAGATTGCCCTGTGTGCCTCTCAAGACATTTGACCTCCGTCTTGTATCCCCCCAGTGAGCTGGAGAGATCTGATGATTCTATTCAACCAGTGTCCAAGAGCTTCTATCGGGGCACGCCTGCATATTGTATCTAGAGCACCTGCGTTCATGCTTTGAAGTTGTGCCTTTGTAAGCGCCGATGAACGGGAACACGGTGCACTGGGAAGGTGCTTCCTGCTTCGATTCCTGTGTAGAGCCAACCAAATGGACGACCTTTGACACGTGGCCAACATGGTCGTACGTTTACCGGCAGTCGTATAACTGCATGCAACACGACGCTACAGGCCAGCAACCCTTCCAGCTTGAAAGGACTTGCTATCACGATCTGTCGAATGAAGCGTCCAACTCGTTTCTACCACATTGGCCGGTAATGTACGCGTCAACCGCACCACCATGATACCAACTGGCTCGAGGCAATTTGAATGCACGATGAATCCATCTACACTCGCCATCCTTTCAACTGGAAGCCGCCGCATCGCAATCACGATCAACACAACGTCGTTCGTGCAAATATATCCGACATGCCGGAGGGAGACATTCCAGTACGCGGCACTGGTTCAAGCCACGACGGTGTCTCATGCAGCGGGAAAATGGATGCCCTCGGCCGCGGTCGCGAGCTGTAACTGTCCAGCGGAGAAGTTATCCGGATTTCTTCCGGATACCGTGTGTGTTGAGCGAATTTAGGCGTGTGGAGGCAATATGATGGGGGGAGGACCGCCGCCGCGCCTCGGTGCAGACGGCGACTGGGTGTGCCCGAAGGAAGGATGTGGCAACATTAACTTTGCCCGCCGCATGGAGTGCAACCGATGCTTCACACCTCGGCTTGACGCTCCCAAGAAACAGTTTGGCGACAGATCGTTTGAGAAGAAGACTGGGCTGTTTGGACCTGGAGACTGGGCCTGTGGCAAGTGCGGCAACATGAACTGGGAGCGTCGCAACGAGTGTAACATTTGCAAAGCCCCCAAGTCCTCTCTAGGTCCTGATGAAAAACGTGACGGTGCCGGTGGAGGGTTCAACGAGCGGCAAGATCGTGTCGCGTCAGCTCGCCGTGAAGTCGCCGACGATGGGTATGATGACTTTGGTCAACGACGACAAAAAGCGACCGTGAGTCAGAAAGATCGCGAAGCTGCGGCGTTGGCGCGACTGAAGGCGAGCTACAGTGCCATCTACACCAACGAACCATCCGGTGGCGCCCAATGCAGCGATGACGACGCCACCACACGAAAACCGGCATCTTCTCGACGGAGCCCAGACAATACCAGTAGTCGACATCGCAGCCCAGAAGGAAATCGGCGTCGCGGAAGTCCCGAGTCCAGCCATCGCCGTCGAAGTCCGGAACCGTCTCACAGACGACGCAGTCCGGATCGGCGTGGCCGTAGCCCCGACCGACGACCGAGTCGCAGTCGTGATAGATATGATAAGCCATCGTCGGGCCGGCGCAATAGCCGCAGTCGGTCGAGGGACCGGCGCCGATAGGTGCATGAAGTGCATGATAATGTTCAGGATTTGAATTCTACAGTTTCGATCATTGAAATCCTGGTTTTAAGGACTCAATGCTTACATTTTCGCAGTTTTCATCCCGCTAAATGAAACTTTCGAAACGTCATGTCCTTAAAGCAAGGTCAAAATAGTTACAAGTTGACGTCGATGGGGAATTTCCACAACGTTTTAGGGCGGGAAGCCATCACTCCATTGCCGCCGACAGTGAACGTCGATATGAAGGGACCGACGGCGCTGTCGTTAAATCCCATACGACCAGGGACATGCCTTCACCTGCTGGTTGAGCATGCAGACGAGTTGAACCCGATGTGGGCTTGGGTTCAAGGACTCGCGTATAACGACCTGGACCGCGTACGCAATTTCATCCCTTCGTCGTTTTGTCCTTCATTCGGTTGCTTCCATTCAGGTCTTGATGTTCGAAGATGCGCCGTGGGTTGCCACGCTTCGGATGTTGCATGCTCTGGTCGCCGATGCCAAGCGTGAAGAGGGTACAGGGAACGACGGAATGCAAGGCCTACAGACGACGACAGAATTTAAGAGACACCGAAGTTTTCATACGTGATGATCAAATTTGAGCCAATCAAATCACATGAAGTCAAAACATAACAAATCATTGGCCAAAATAAAAACTTGGCGGGAAAACATTTAAAATTCGCGCCATACTGAGCCCTTTCACACATGCCAATCACTTTCGAATGGCACTTGAGCTACGCGACAAGATCAGCCAACATCAGAGGCCACGGCGGCGATACTGCCATGTCACAGAGCTGCAAATGATAGCTGCCATGCAGACCGCATCAGTCCGCGAGCTTGAAGCAAGCACCGGAATCCCGAAGAGCAACCTCTCGCGTTGGTTTCAACAAAAGGACCAGATTTTGTCCTTCGAGGGCACGAAGAAGCGTTTCCACCTCGATGGCGCGGGTCGACCAGAGGAGATTCCGGACACGAAGGAGCTCTAAGCTATCATGCTGAAGCGCCGTGAAGCCGAATGTGCAGTAACGTCTACCCACTTGGTGAACCACTTGAAACGCTACCATCGCGACTGGCTTGCCAACTATCTATAGCAGTCAGGATCGGGCAACAAGTCTCTGCTTCACTTCCTCCAACGTTTTTGTGCCCGCAACGGCTTTACACGTCAAAAGCCGACAAAATCACAGCGCAAGCAAGAGGACCTACAAGCGCTACGAGCGGCATTCGCGGCAGATTTCAACAGCCTTTGACGGTTTTGCCCCCGACTGTATTATCAATGTTGATGAAACCAGCATGCACTACGTCATGCCACCACATGCTATTTGGGCCGTCAAGGGCGGTAGTTCAAAGATATCAAGTGGCGAGAAGCATGCATATCGAATGACAGCAGTTCTCTCTGTTCGTGCAAGTGGCGAGAAGATGCCAATTCTGTTTATCATCCGCGGAACCCCTGGAGGTCAAATTGAAGCAAGTGAGTTCGACTCGATTCCAATCGGTCATTTTTACACGGTCCAAGACAAAGCTTGGATGGATGAACGGGTATGGTCATATTACCTTCGTTCCGTTTTGAGACCTCAAGTGCGTGCGCCCTCAGTGCTTCTGTTGGACAATTTTGATCCCCATGTAAGCGGCGTCGGCATCAAGATCGCGAATGAGGAGGCAGGTTGCATCGTTGCCCCAATCCCCCCGAATGCTACGAGCTACGTACAGCCACTTGATGTGGGTATTATGACCCCATTCATGCGTCATTTGCGTGATTTGTGGTTAGAGATAGATCGTGTAGATTGTGGAGATGGGGACGAAGGGGTTGATGATATTGACATGATGATAGTGACTGCACAGGAGAAGAGGATGGCTATGATTAAGCGTGCTATCACGGCTTGGTCACGCATCACACCGCAAGAAATTCGTCGTAGTTTTGCCAAAGCTATTCCACAATATAACATATTTTTGGTTCGAAGTAAGATGAAATGGATTAAATTGGTCATTAAATTTGACTCGATTGCTGGCGAGGAATGGCCTTGTCAAAACTTGTACTGATGACTTCAGACGGCACCATATCCCAAGCCGCAATCGCTCGCTTGATCAGCGCCATTCGCTTCAGCTTCGAGGTGAGAGAAGAAGGATCGTCGTCGTCGCCCTCAATCATTTCCTCATAGAGCCAAAGCTCCCGCATGTTGCGCTTGAAAGGCGCCATGACAACAACGTCGAGCGGCTGGAAGAAGGACGTGGCATTCGGCGGGAGTAGACAGAGTTGAGAACCAAGCTCTTCTTGTACGGCTCATGTGACTCAAAGTTGTCCAGGATAACTACCGAAGCTTCCTCAATGTGGTCGTGAAGGACGTTGCTGAAGTAAGACTTCCACACCATACAAGCCCTCTCTTGAACAGCGTAGGCATGGCCAGCGGGAAACGACGGTACCTCGTGAGTTTCGACGCGCCCACCAGGTTTACCTTTCATGATGAACATGATAGGAAGCTTTTGACCATCGGCGCGAGCAGTGAGCACAGCCGTCATGCGCATGGAATGCTTTTCGCCGGCTGAATTCTTGGAGCTTCCACCGCGTTTGGCCCAAATGTAGTTTGGAGGCATGTCATAGTAGATGCCTGTCTCCTCAACATTGTACGTGCACTCCTTGCCATAGGCCCTGTACTCACAATGAAACTCGCATGCAAATTCATCCCGTGTTTCGGCCAGAAACACTTGGCTTTTCTTGCATGTCGTTGGGCGTTGTCTCGAGAATTCATGACGTTTGGCAAAGCGTCGGAGCATCTGCTGGATGGACTTGTAGCCGAACCCGGGACG